AAAAAAAAAAAAAAAATCAAGAATAATTAGCTCTTGTATGGAAGAGCTGTGATATCATGTTGGTCCCATTTAACAAACTTTTATTGTGATGTTTTATGAATCTTTTATTTCTAATATCTGTCTCTCTATTTTTGCATTAAAAGCCAGAAAACACTTTCTACATCTTCAATTCAAAATGAAATCCCAAAGAAAAAATCCAAGTTTGAGTCAATCACAACCAATGGAGACAGGTAAGCCAGTTGGTGTGTGTGCATGCTTCCATTTGAGCTGCTGCATATACAGTTCCTGAAACAGGAATACATTCCAGGGTATGCCTTAGACCTAGTCTAGGGTTGTTATTGAGTCTCTGAGGGTCATTACATTAGCCACTTGATATCTTATGAATAAGCAGTGTTAATATTTGTTTATAACTAATCCTGTCTGTAAAAGACAAGCACATATAACTGGATTTAATAGCAACTGAATCCTGTAGTCCACAAATAACTCCTCCACACTAATTTTAAGAAGTCAGGAGCTGTATGCTTTTCACTGTGATCTGTGCCTGCGGCCTCCTCCAGGCAGGGCAGGAGTTGGTCTTGAGAAGTGGAGCAGAGACCAGTTGGAGTTAAGACAGTATTGCTCAGTCTGTGAGGGGTAATCAATGCTTCCTTAGCATGCAGAAAGCCCAATGCAGATACTCAATCAGCAGAGAACGAGATGCATTTAAATATTTTTACTACTTTTTAAACCTGTCTAAATACATATTTTTATTTGCTTTCCCTTCTCCTGAGTGCTGCTTCCTCTTGCAGGCTGCTTTGTCCTAATGTCTAGAGTGCCCCATTCGTGTTGGTGCAGTGTTGCTTCCCAGCCAAGCCTTGGGGCCACCCATTTTCCTGTTTCTGCAGGCCGAGGCATCCTGAAGTGAGACAGTGACATACTCCTCCCCAAAATCCTTGGAATCATTTCCATTCTGAAAACGCCCAGTATAGGTTCTCCCTCCCAGCCAGTGGTGGATATGGGAGTAGATTAGCATGTAGGCTTACCAGGGCTGAATTTCAATTAAGGAGCACAAAGCATCTGTGAAATGTATTCTTTCCTGTTACCTTTTTTATTAACTTGATTTCAGATTCTACAGGGTGTCTTTTTTTTTTTTTTTAAGATTTATTGATTTATTTGAGAGAGAGAGAGTGCGAGGTGGGGAAGGGCAGAGGGAGAGAATCTCCAAGCAGACTCCCCACTGAGTGCAGAGCCCAACACAGGACTCGATCCCACAACCCGTGAGATCACGACCTGAGCCGAAACCAAGAGTCAGACGCCCAACTGACTGAGCCACCCAGTCACCCCTCACTTTGAAAACATTCTGACAAGCCTTTTTTTTGATGTCCTTTTGTAATGTCATGCAAACCCCCAGTTTTTTTTACTGATTATCTATCTTGAATTCAGTTCTATACCAGATGTTAATGGTCTCGCTTCTGAGCTGTCTGTTGTAGCTGCCTCCCCATTTTCAGTTGATCGCAGACTACTTTCCTGGCCCTACTTTAAAAATATCCATATATGCTCTTGTCCTTTCATTGTTATCCCCTCTTGTCTTCTGAAGGCTGCTCTCTAACAACTTTCCATTCACCTTGCTGTTCTACCACATTCTCCTCTCTTAGTTTTTAAGTTTTGAGGCATATTTGATTTTTTTTCTCCTTTTTTTCCTTTTCCATTAGCCTTCTGTATCATACAGAGAGAACACATCACGTTAGGTTTTGGTTTGTTTTTGTTTTTAAGATTTTATTTATTTATTTAAGCGAAAGAGAGTGTGCACGAGCAGGGAGAGGGGCAGAGGGAGAGGGAGAGAGCCAAGTAGACTCCCCAGTGAGCATGGAGCCTGACATGGGGCTCCATCCCAGGACCCCAAGATCATGACCTGAACCGAAGTCAGATGTTCAACCAACTGAGCCACCCAGACATTCCTAGGTTTTTTATAAAACCTTTTCTCAAATAATTTTATTTTTAATTTTTTAAATAGATTTTTATTTATTTATTTGACGGGGGGAGGAGCAGAGGAAGTGGGAGAGAGAGTCTTAAGCAGACTCTGCACTGAGTGCAGAGCCTGACACGGGGCTTGATCTCATGACCCTGAGATCACAACCTGAGCTGAAATGAAGAGTCAGACGCTCAACCACCTGTGCCACCCAGGTGCCCCCTCAGATAGTTTTATACTTCTAAAATGCCTTTGTCTTTTTTTTTTAGTATCCTGCAGAATTCACAGCTTCCCTCTAATATTTTCTAGTTTCTTGAAATTGTAGCAAAAACTTTTCAATTGAAGGAAAATCTGAGTTCATGTCTAGCTTTTCTTCCCAGAGAAAATGTACCAGCTACTTTTTTATCATATTTGTTTGTTCTGTTGGTAATAAAAAAGTACTCTCAACATTGGGTGATGCCCAGGCACACCTTGTGGTTTATTGTTCTAAAGGACATTCTTTTCCTTTCCTCGTAGGTTTTTTTTTTTTAAGATTTTTTTTTTTTTTTTAAAGTCTAACTTTTTTTTTTGGAAAGATTTTATTTATTTATTTGATAGAGACCCAGCAAGAGAGGGAACACAAGCAGGGGGAGTGGGAGAGGGAGAAGCAGGCTTCCCACAGAGCAGGGAGCCTGATGCAGGGCTCGATCCCAGGACCCTGGGATCATGACCTGAGCTGAAGGTAGACGCTTAACGACTGAGCCACCCAGGCGCCCCTTTTTTAAGATTTTATTTTTAAGTTGTCTCTACGCCCAGCATGGGGCTTGAACTCACAACCCTGCGATCAAGAGTCACACACTCCACCGACTGAGCCAGCCAGGCGCCCCTCCTCATAGTTTTATTTCATTCTCCATTTGAAATATGCCTGAAAGAGTAGACTTACTGGGGCGCCTGGGTGGCTCAGTTGGTTAAGCGACTGCCTTCGGCTCAGGTCATGATCCTGGAGTCCCGGGATCGAGTCCCGCATCGGGCTCCCTGCTCAGCGGGGAGCCTGTTTCTCCCTCTGACCCTCCCCCCTCTCATGTGCTCTCTCTCTCATTCTCTCTCTCAAATAAATAAATAAAATCTTTAAAAAAAAAAAAAAAAAAGAGTAGACTTAATTTGTGTGGCCTTTGAGGACAGACCCAGGGCCAAAGGGTAGGAATGACAGGGAGGCAGGTTTCGGCTTACCCTGAGGAGGATTGCTCTTATATTAAAAGGTTTAGAAAAAGGGTGCACCTGGGTGGCTCAGTTGTTAAGCGTCTGCCTTCAGCTCAGGTCATGGTCCCAGGGTCCTGGAATCGAGCCCCGCATCGTGCTCCCTGCCTGGCGGGAAGCCTGCTTGCTTCTCCTCTCCCACTCCCCCTGCTTGTGTTCCCTCTCTGCTGTCTCTCTCTCTCTGTCAAATAAATAAATAAAATCTTAAAAAAAAAAAAAAGGTTTAGAAAAGACAAGAAGCTTCCTAGAGAAGTAGTGAGTTCCCTGTCATTGGAGATATTTGAAAAGAGACTGGATCTAATTTTCTGCCTTCCTAACCTAGCCGTCTGTTTTCATTTGATTTCCAGCAGTTCTTATTAATCAGAAGTTAGAGAGTTAGAAAGGTCAGGCCCTAACACAGGATAGACACAACTGGTTTTGTCAACAATGTATTGGTATGGGAAGAATCCTCTCTTAAGAAGCAGGTAGAGAAGAACATTAGGAGCTTTTGGGACCACAAGATTTATATTAGCCTATTACTCTGTTTCATTTGTCATTCTAGTTACGGGCTTAAGTAAATTCTCTTGGATTGAGGGAAGACAGTCCCTTGGCAGGTGTTGAAATTGGTGGAGACTTTGATGGGTTCTTTCAGTATTTTCTCCTGCGTGCCTTGTTTTATTATATGGCATTTACTTTTTTGTTACCCAGTAATTCTGCATATTCATCAGTTATAAAAGCAACGGGTCCATTCTTCTGACATGCTTCATGTGGACCAAGAGAGAATATTCTTATCAATGGACTGTGTCTTCTAGCCATAGAATGTTTGACTTGGTAACTCTGAGGATGTCCAGTGATTCCACTTGCTATTTGGAGTTTCTACCTGTGTAGAGAAATGCTGGTTATTAGATGTAGTTCAAGATGGAGGAACGAACCAACAGCAAGGGGAACCTAGAGTCATTGCTCTATTGATATAGGGAGCTAGGAATCAATATTCCAGTGTCTGCTTTGGAAGAACAGGTTTGTGTTTTACTTTTACTTTAAAGGTTGCCTTGGGAAGAGTAAGAGCTTTCTTTGGGAAATCTCTAGAGAAGGGCAGGATTTGACTCTCATGGCAATGATTCCTTAACTTGTTTTGGGTGTAAGACATCTCTGACCAACCAGGGAAAGCTATGGATCCTCATCCTAGAAACCACCCATTGTATGTATACACCGAATTATACATACAATTTCAGAGGGTTACAGATTCCCGGGAGCTGGGCCTGGTTAGAGGACTCTGCTAAGAGGACAGAGTTCACCTGGCACTTTGAAAAAATGAAGTGCTCAGGTGCTGTTATTGAGAAGAATCTGTTGAAAACCCAGGTTCTGGTGTGACTCTGGAATTTGCCACCTCTTTGTGTCTTTTCTAACTAAATATCATTGAATTGTTGTTATTGGAAGTGGTGGTCAACAGGCCAGTTGCAGTGTAGGGGAAGTTGGCTTCCTTCCTATTAATTTCATCTTTTTGGGGCACCTGGGTGGCTCAGTCAGTTAAGCGTCTGCCTTCGGCTCAGGTCGTGATCCCGGAGTGCCAGGATTGAGCCCCACGTCGGGCTCCCTGCTCATGGGGCTTGAAGTCTGCTTCTCCCTCTGCCTGCCGCTCCCCCTGCTTGTGTGCGCTCTCTCTCTCAAATAAATAGAATCTTTAAAAGAAAATTTCATCTTTTTATAATTTTTAGAAGGGACTGACTGCTCCTGGGATGGAATGCAACAGCTTCTTTCTTTCTTATTTTTAAGATTTTTTAAATTTATTTGAGAGAGAGAATGAGTGGGGGGAGGGACAGAGGGAGAGGAAGAAGCAGACTCCCCACTGAGCAGCGGCCCAACATCAGATGCTTAAACCGGCTGAGCCACCCAGGCGCCCCTAGGCAGCAGCTGCTTAGCAGCTGCACCACATCATGGTGCTTTGGGGCAGAAAATAAAGAACCAAAAGATGAGCTCTGTGGGGAGTTTTAAAAGAAAAATATGTGAGCTAACAATTGGTAATTTATCCAGATTCTAGGGAAATGAGTTAGTCACAAAAAATTGACTGTTCCACCCATAAATAATTGGGAATCTTCAATACACCTGAAACAAAACGTCCTTGACTCTTGGGGAATGCATTTGTTTTCATCTTGAATGTGAGAGGAGATGCTGCAGAAATGCTCTGGGTTGTGGTTTGGTTGGTATAGTTATCTCATGATCACCTTGCCTGTGCAGTTTAGCAAATGCTATTGAGTCTGGCATGTATGGAGCATTGTGCTTACTGCTGGGAATTCAAATAGTTTTTCTTACCCTTGAGCTTGTAGTTAGGTGGCCTCTGGTGTGTCCTCAAGTAGAAAAAGGTTTATCCCTCCAAGTTATGATTTTTTTCCCCTCCATGTTTCTACTCAGCTTTTCCCCAGACCTGGCTCTGGACTCACCGGGCACTGACCACTTTGTCATCATTGCCCAACTGAAGGAAGAAGTGGCCACTCTGAAGAAGATGCTGCATCAAAAAGATCAAATGATTTTAGAGAAAGAGAAGAAGGTACAGTTTTGTTAATGCCTCTCAGGCTAGAATGGTGCAAGGGTAAGCATGGGCTACCATAGGGCATGGTGCCAACTCTTTAACTGATTTTTATTTGGTACTGACCACTGATGCTTTGAGAGATCCAGTGGCAAGGTTGGGCTATCCTGGGAGAGGCTTACTGTCTGCCAAGATGACTCATGAGCTGGTATTACCATGGTGAATCTACCTCGGTCAGGTGCATTTAGCAAGTTGATTTTTCTCAGCATTCAGAGGGAGCTTCCACTTCTCAGGGAGGACTCCTGTTAACCGGGCTTACAGAGGTGATGTGTAAAACTACAGTGCCCCTCTTAATTCATAGTGGGGCATAACTGACTCTTGCTCTTCTCAGCATGAGCTGCTTTGGAAGGTTGCAATCAGAAGGTGCCGAATGAGCATGGAGTCAGGACAAGAGGAGGTAGTTGTGTAATTGGAATTCTTAATGCTCTCAAGCTAAGAACCTCATGTCTCCATCTCTATTATTGGGATGGCCATGTCTGTGGGACAGTAATACTTAAAATATGTGGGCCAGGTCTGTCTCCTTCCTGGACTATGTTCAGGTAGGCCTTCCTCCATGACTAGTAGGTCACTTTGCTTCTATTACTGACAGTTCCCTTCCTGAGTGACCCACTCTTTAAACACATTAACATCTTCAGTAAAGTCTTACTCTGGTCTAACAGCCCCCCTCTTTAAGGGAACTTTTTACATCCTTCTTCTGATTCAGGTCTATTTATCTTATTTTTAGGTTCTTAAAGAGTATCTCATTTTTGTCTTAATATATTAATAACAATAATAGCTAACTTTTATTGGATACTTAACTATGTGCCTGACTATTCTGCGTGCTTTCTATGTATTAACTCATTTATCTTCATAATAGCCCTTTGAGAGAGGAATCACTGTTATCATCGTGTCACAGATAAAGAGAGCCTCCAATATTTTTCCTTTTAGGCTTTCATTCCCTTCTTCTAGTTGTGTTTTTTTCCCTGAGGCTGTATGGTTTTTTGTGCCAAGTTTGGAGTGCTAGGTTTCATTGTGAATGGCTAACAAAGGCATTTATAATGTTAAAATATTCATATGCCTTCTTTCCATCTAATTTTGACCTCATTTTACAGATGAGGAAATGGACCCAAAGATATTAAATGATGTACCAAATCACACAACTAGTAAATGGCAGAACAAAGTAGTTAACTCAAGTCTTTCTGATTCTGCTGTTCTTTCTACTAGCCTGTGCTTTCTTCTGCCAGGAAGGTGGAGATTCATGGAGAGAGACCAGTATTTTTTCCACTTTACTACATGACTATTGTATGAAAGCAGACCCAAGTATATCTTCTTCATGGACTAGATTAGAATGGCACATAAAAGGATTTTGCAAAATAGAGATAAAATGAACATTTGTTTCTACTGCTTTGCAAAGTTTGGGTTTTAGAAGGAGCAAAAACAAATAGGAGATTGTTTCTCATCACTTTCAGAATCAAGGTCACACTCCTTGGCTTGGAACACAGGCCCTTCTACATCATGCCTGCCTATCTGTAGCATCATCTCCTGCCATTCTCCATGCTCATCAGTCCTTCGAACAAGCTGTCAGTGACCTCATACTGCCTGGGCTGTGCCCACACAGTTTCCTTTGTTTGGATGCCCTTCTCCCTACCTTGTGTGCCAGCTGTAGCTCATGTCCCTCAAAACTCAGCTCACACATCACTTCCCTGACGTAGATTTCTCTTCTCTTCTTGAATAGCATAGTCAATAGAAGAAGGCCTGGGGTTTGAATTCTAGCTCTGCCACTTGCTAACATGTATGATCTTGGCCATGTTACTTAGCCCTTTCTAAGGCTTGGTTTTCCCATATATAAAATAGGAAGAATAATATTGCCCCCCCCAAAGGTTTATCATAGGATTGAATGAAAAAATAGAATCAAACAGTTTGGGTCACCTGGCTTGCTCAGTTGGAGGAGCATACAGCTCTTGATCTTGGAGTTCGGAGTTCAAGCTCCATGCTGGCTATAGAGATTACCAAACCAAACTAAAACAAAAACCATCATGTACACACACACACACACACACATATAGAGAGAGATTACTAAAAAACAAAAACAACTATATACATATATATATATGTTCAAACAGTTTGCCTGGAACAGGGTTAAAAATTCAATAAATGGCAATAGCTGTTATTCTCCTGGCTTCTCTCAAACCGTCAGTCATATTGTATTATAATCACTGATTTATTTGGAGGATTATTGGTATGTATTAAATACATAAAATCTTTATTTTTTATTGTTATATTAATCCCCATACATTACATCATTAGTTTTAGATGTAGTGTT